TGTGTGTGTGTGTGTGTGTGTGTGTGTGTGTGTGCTCAAATGTGTGTGTGTGCGAGTGTGTGTGTGTGTGTGTGTGTGTGCGTGTGTGTGTGTTTTTTCTAAATCAGAGGTGGTCTATTAGCTGACTTGAATATGAGCTTGATGGAAAAATGTTATTTGCGTGTTTCAATTGTGTACTTTTCACTAAGCTCGGGAATTAAACCACGACATGTATGCCTCCTAGTCGTCATCGCTCACCGATCGTACATTCTTCGTAATTGGGGGATAGTAATTGATTTGTATAGATACATGTAGACTATATTATAATAAAACTACAAAACACTATGCTCCTCTTTCGTTACCTTAAAGAACGCACAAGTCATCACTCTTGCCAATAACCGAGATGAATATCTATTTTGTGTGTAAGTATATGTATGGCTTTTTTCGTCTATGCAGACGGTCAATAGGCTGTCTTCATGTAGCTTCTTTCATGGCTAAATTCCTATGTTTGAAGCGCAGGTTCTGTCGCAGTGCTTGCATGTCAGTGAAGTGGATTGAAGCTCTGTGTCCCCTCTGTTTTCCTTTCGTCGTTGGCGCTTCTCAGTCTGATTGTTTTTTCTATTTAATTTTGTGTATGCCAACAACAAATTAAGACTATGCTCTCACCCCACCACTTCCTTTTTTTTTCTCCCCCCCCCAAAAAAAAACAACAACAAACAAACCTGTCCATCCCAGCGTGCCAAGTCGTGTCCGGCCAACTTCCTCCCCTTCCTCACAATGGCCGTCCTGCTGTACTACGAACAAGGGGACAAAATCTGCCGGATGTTCTGTCGGAGAGACGATTGTCCCGGTACGACACACGTTATTGTCTCATAATATTGTACTCTTAACTGTTAGTATACGGAAGGCTGTTCCAACTTTGCGAGCAGCCAAATTTGTCGTCCAATTGTTCAGCGCCACAAACTTTTCGAGAACTCCCGTCCTATTTAACCTAGGTCTTTTTTTTTTCTTAGTAAGGTTTTTCGGGGCTCGCAAATGCATAAGGTCATATGAGCGCCAAGGGGTTGACGTCAAAAGAGAAATCCAAACGGGGAATCAGGCTTACTCTGCTCACCTCTCTACTCTGCTTCGACTATCAAGGCACCCCGGAAATAGCAGTTCACAAGAGAGTGACAAACATACTAAAGAAGTACCGTAGAGGGAAATGACGATAGTAAGGATGAGTAAAGAACCTAGGTCTATTTGCTTAAAATCAACACAAAACTTGCATAGATAAGACGAATTTAATGAGGTCTGGTAGATTTTTGCTATGATTGTAAACAACCGAGTGATACTGTGGCTGTGGAGACAGCTAAACTGATATACTGTATACTAAGCGTTAATGTAGGTGTTTTTCTGCCACGCCCACACAATTGTAGATCATTTAGGACTTGAGCTTCCAACCCTGTCTGTCCGGGCCAAACCGGACTGAGACGGATACAACTGCAATATCCCAGCTGAAAAACCGAGATATTTGGTTGAAAAGTCTCTCTACTTGGGAATCGAACTCGGGTCTCTTGCATTTTAAGGTGAAGCGCGTAACCACTACACCACAGATGCCACGCCGATCGTGTACTCTTAATCTTATGGAACGTTTTAGAAAAGTAAACCCTACCCCACTTGACGGTCAACCACACTGGTTTCTATTCTTCTTGGCGGGCTGCCGCCTGACCAGTCCAACAACAGTTTCCACCCGACGGTCTACCGGTCTACTTAACATTTTCCCTCTGCCGCATATTGTAGCACACTCTCGTGACTGCTATTGACCTATTTGAAAAGTTTTGGTGGTATCGAGCTCTCCCAGGTAAAATCGAAGGCAAACGCAAAAGGGGTAGTCTCAAAGGAGAAACTTACCTGGAACGCCTTAACAGATGGGCGGCGGGGTAAGTTATGGATGATAATGACATTGCTTTTTTTTCCGAGCATCCAAACAAAAAAATGACTGGCGAGTCATGGTCGCGGAAGTCTGTCACAGATCTGGCACTTGAAGAGTGCATCAAAATATGGGAGTGAAAGTACAAGTATAAAATTACCCTGCACAGGCTTTAAGTTTAAAAAACCCCGTTAAGGTGGTACTTAGCACTTGGTACATGTAGCCCGTCGAGCATACCGGAACCGCTAAATAAAAGATTGTTATTTTAGTTTTAGTAAGGTTTAACGGCACTTGCAACTGCATAAGGTTAAAAATATGAGCGCCAAGGGGTGGATATCAACAGAGAAGTCCAAACGGGGAATAAGGCTTACTCTGCTCACCTCTCAAGCCTCAACAGCACAAAGTCTGCTTCGACTATCAAGGCACCCCGGAAATAGTTCACAAGAAGAGGAGAAATGACGATAGTAAGGATGAGGAAAGAAACAGCAGCAGTTCCCCCGATGATGTTCAGGCACAAGTATATGAGCATTGCATTGATAAATCAGACCATTTATGCTGTGCATAAAAAAAACAAAAAAAAAACAACATGTTAATATCCCCCCTTTGGGAATGGCCTAAAGACATGTAGTAGCTCGTCGAGAACTAAATAAAAGATTGTTGCGTTCTCTTTACTCGGACAAAAACAAACAAACTCCTTCTTTCCTATCAAACATCTATCGTCCTGATTTCTCCTACTTCTTTTCTGTGTTCATTGCTCTTACAGCTGTAATCTTCGGCACTTAAATGATGGCCTTATTGTGTTGCAGCAAGTGCCGTAAAACTCTTACAAAAAATAAAATAAAACTACCTCCCCAGAGGAAAAGTTCCGGAGCCGTTACGTGTTGCAGCCGTGCCGGCCGGAGGTTCGCCGTATACGTCAAGTCGTCCACAAGGGACACTGCGACTGCCCGCTGGTCCAGTGCAAGGACAAGAACAAGAACAAGAAAAAGAAGTGCCCGCCTATAGCGTTCGCGCCCTGCTCTCCCAAGACATAACTAGATCTACAGCAACCTCAGCACAAATGTTGGCTGCTGCTACTGGGCAAGAGGATAACGTCGTTATGTAATTTTATCTAGGCATTAATTAATTGTTCATCAGTCAAACGACAGAGTTATCCCCCGGCAGAGAGATGATGTAACTTTTTGTTTATATATTTGGCATTTGGTCTAGTGAGCAAAGATTTTTTTTAAATAAAAAAATATAATAATTTTAAATTTAAAATACCACGACGCTCTGCCCCCCACCCCCCGGAAAAAATAGATGTATACAATAAAATTAATTTTAAACATTAAATTAAACTAGTCTAAATTTTAAAAACTTCAAAATAAAAAAATCGTTCTTTTTCTGTTGAGATCACAGGGTCAAGAAAGAAATATCGCCAAGGTTTGCACTCCGCAACACAAAACGTCAGTCAATTGCAGGACCATTTGAAGAACCGTGTCAACTAGAGTTTGCAGAAATTAAGGGCAGGGGCTTAACTTAACCATGGATACGTCATAAAATTATGCATTTTAAAAGATCCCTTACTTCCCCGTGTTTTTGTATCATCAGCGTGCTACAGGGATGAATAATATGAACGTTGATAAATTTGTACTTGGTCTTCTAGTCACTTTATAGGAGAAGCAAAAACTTCAATTTCTTTATAATCCTACCTATGAAACTCTCTCCGTCTCTGTCTCTGTCTCTCTCTCTCTGCGTTACTAAAGCAATTTGGAGTTGGGGTGGCTGCTGGGCGTTCCACTACATCTGTTTCTTCCATCTGACCTTTTCACTGTAGTTATTGTCCAAACATGTATCCTACCAAACAATGAGGCCTTTATTGTTTATTGTGTCAACTCTAGGCTATCACTATCATCATCTATGTGAACTATAGTAGGCTGTAGGCCTATAGTCCCACTGCAGGGAAGCAGCATAGGCCAATAACATCCATGGTGGCTCTCCTCCATCTTTCCACGACCAAAGAATGAACGACGAACGAATGAATGAATTGTATCAGCTAATGTTCTGTCATGAGAATGAATTTGGAAAATCGAAACCTTAATTGAAGTCATTTTGGAGTAACAAGTAAAATAAAGGTATGGATATGTTTAAAGTTAAATCAGTGTTTGTTTTGGATTTGGCTGATGTTTGTGTTTTACTTTTGACAGCTTCAACCCCCCCCCCCTCTTCCTCACAAAAACGATTTTTTAAAGTTAAAAAGTACTTGCTCACCTCATAGTTGTCGATTGTTCGAGTTTTTGTATTAAAGAAAGCTTATTGATATGACATTTAACAGATGTTGCTTGCTAAAATTACATCCTGCCAAACGTGCAGACAGAAGACAGAGTAGATCTAGATCTAGTCACTTTACAGAAGCAAAAAACTTTTAATTCTTTATACTCCTACCTATGAATCTCTCTCTTTCTCTCTGTCTGTCTCGGTCTCTCTTTCTGTCTCTCTCTCCTGGCACGCATGGGAGACTTTAACATTTGAATTTGAAGGGGAGGAAAAGGGGCGTGGTGGTTGGTGGTAACCACTCAACCTAGGTTGGTGCCACTAGTCAAGGTTCAAAAACCATTCTCCTAAATGATCTAAAATGTGTTGATGGAAGTGAAAAAGCATCTACAACCACCTGTGAATAATTAATATTATTTATGGTACTTTCAATGTATACTTTCTAGTATAATAAGTAATAAGTATAAAGCAACCCCTAATACTTAGAAGAAAAAAAAATCCAGATCCAACTCAAAAAATGAAACTTCTCACTGACCATCTGAGCTAGACTTTCATCTGCATGACACACATACATTGTCTTCTTTCTTACCAGTGAGACACAAGGAAGAATTCTAAAAGTAACAACAAGAAGCTTTTATTCAACCATGCAAATCAACATAAACAACAACAAAAAATCAGATAAGATGTAAACAGATGTACATCTCAAATATCTGGAAACAAATAACACATAAAAATATCATCATAACTGGCAATAACATTTCCCATCTAACACAAACAAGATTTTACGTATTTCCCAAAGTTTGAAAACACTATCACTATAACAATGCTTGAACATTTTTGTGTGCTTTCCTTCTACACTCGTGGCCAAAAAAATATGTCACAACCAAAACTATAATGTCGTAAAGAAAATTTCACATCTTTATACAGATATGAATCACGATATTATAAACCTTCAACTCTCAGTTCCTGACAGAGAGAGAAACTTTGAACTTTACCAAATATAACTTCTATTCAAATGGAATCAAGATAATTCTAAAAGGAGGAAAAAAAGGGCTTTCCTTCAAAGTAGAAGTATTGAATAAATTACCAAATTCAGCCTAATCCGAATAACTGGTAAAACACACAGAAAAACAGGACACCTATCAAGTTTTAAATCCATCTAGCGTTACAATTCTTCATGCACTGCATGCTCTCTTGAATCTGGTGCTGCACACCGTGCGGGTGTTGTAAACTCAAACTGGTATTCACAGCGACTCGGCTCTGAAGCTCCAGTGAGGGCATTCTCCGCACCACAGTGAAAGTTGACCTGAGCATAAGAAAAACGCTTTTAGTGTCAGAGATTTCAAAAGTTTTTGTAAGAGTTTACGGCGCTTGCAACAAAAGTTTATACATACGCAGAAAATTATAGGTGTTACAAGAGTAACAAACACAAAAAAGGAGGAGAGACAAAGACGATAAGAAAGAAAGAAGAAGAAAACCACATCAGAGCACCCGCCAACCACCCACTGTCAGAGAATGTCAGCCACAACATTTACCTTCACAAAAAGGACATTCTTTCACAAAGTTGAGATTTTAACAGTCAGCAAGGGCCATAGACTATTCCCATTGTTATGACATTATTAGCTCCCGGTGAAAGTACGAATTCAGTACAAAATAATTGTTCTTTGCTTTAAGTGCGTCAACAACATTGCACCATCATATCTTTGAGACATGGTCATCGAATATATACCATCTCGGCAGTTAAGTTCGGCGAAGAAAAGACTATTAAGACCTGTCCAAAGCAAAAGTCAAGAGACTCGGAGGGAGAGCTTTTTCACACCATGCCCCGTCCCTGTGGAATGCTTTGCCAGCTCATCTACGGGAGCCTAACACTTTAACAAAATTCAAATCAGCACTTAAAACGCATTAGTTTCAGTCCAGCTTCAATCTGTAATTTCTGACATTCCAAATACAAATATTATTATGTTCTCTCAGTATCTATTATGTTCATTCAGTATCGTTATTCATGCTGTTCTGTAACATTTTATGACTGTGTGATGTCATCAATGTGTACGAGGGTGTCTGGGTAAGTTTTTTGGGATTGTCTTTACTCAAGGATGTACTGGAGAGAGAGATAGAGAGAGAGTGAGGAAAAGAGAGAGAGACAGAGAGAGATAGACAGAGACAGAGTGAGAGAGAGAGAGAGAAAGAGGATTACTATAGGAGAGGTGCGCTGCATATGTTTTGTATTATTGTACAGTGCATTGAGAACTTCTTTGTGGAAATGCGCTATATAAATGCAATTTATTATTATTATTATTATTGTTAATCCAACAGCAAATGTGCAAAATAACAAACAAAAAGAAGTAGCCATAGCCATTTGGACCACTAGATGCTTTAGGGGATCTATCGATCAGATGTTCTGCTACGAAATTTTTCAAGAAAAACACAAACACCAACAACAAAAAATATATGATATAGATGCAAATTGTACTCTAGTCTTTTATGGCAAAGAACAAACACTATATACCTGATACTAAATACTGATTTGAAGCATTAAAGGTTTAAAAAAACAACACCTCCAGAGGATTTGGATTGAGTTACAGAAGAAAAAAAGGAAGCACACAGCTGAGGAAAAAAAAAAGAGGAAAAAAAGAAACTGAGACAAAAACAATTGAAAGGCTTTTAATCTGAGCCACAAATACTTACATGGCATGTCCTACTGGGCCCATTCCAGCAGCCCTGGCCATTTTCGTATTTCATGGCGTCATACTTGTCCTCCGCTGGGCCATGCCAGTGACCCCAATTACTGAAGATTTTAAAAAATGGAATAGTGAACATTAATATAAACAAATGTGTCACAACGTTGTGGAATCAGGCACTCGTCAATTTTTGGGCATACAAAGTTATTAGTATCATCTTAAAGCCTGTTCACTAGCCTTTGTTTTTGGTGAAAAAAAAAGATCTACCTTGAATAGAAGTCAAGATATTTGCGATTGAAGGAGGTGAGGGTCATATGGTTTCCGAGGTAAAATTAGTGAGAAATGGCCACCAAAATTTGATAATTCCCAGAGCTTGAGAGTCCTTGGAAACTGAAAATTAACATTTTTTGTGCTTTTAATCAATATTTTTTCAGTAAAATCCACACAGAAATGTGATTTAAAAAGGATATATAAGGTGTTGATCAAAAACAAGAAAATTACAAAAAAATTGCCCAACAGCCAGAAAAATGCCAATTATTTAGATTTCATTATTTTGATAAGTGCCTGATTTCCCCACAATGCCTCACAAATGGTTGGGAGAATGTTAGAGTAAAGAGTCTCTATACCTTTGAAACATTATATTTTTTAACTGCAAAATAATTCCACTGCGGCTTTGATGAAACAAAGAAAACTAACTTGGACTAGCGACTCCGACACACTCATTTTCTTTGTTCTGGTTAAGAGAATACTACACACCTGGAGTGCTAATTATTAGCCGAGAGAAACAGAGGGCACATTCAAATTCTAAATGTTGAAAAAATCAAGACAAAATATAAAATTTAGGTACAATTGTTAAAAGAATAAAGCAGCTTTATTACTCTCCAAAATTTTGCTTTCTGCGCTCATGACATTTTAACGGCAGCTTGCCGACAATATGGTACAATCTGCAGCAGCATTTGCAGCAGCATTAGAAACGAACAAAGAAAAGAAACCAGAAAACAAAAAACAATAAAAACCACCAAAAAACCCCACCAAAAATAACAACAACAAAATTCCCCAAATCTACTTAAGTAAGACACAGACACTGCCTGAGCTCACCCTAAACTGGTCTCCATGCCGCCCGCCTTAGGGCGTTGTGAAGTCTTCTCAAAGGGACACAACTTGTAGGTGTACTCTCGATCAGTGTACTCGAAGCACTGGCCTTTCAGGGCAGCAAACTCCTCCTCTGGTCCAAAGTCTAGCTCCATGTAAGACTTGATGCCACTGAAAACGAACAATAAAAATACCACTGAAGTATTCATATCACATACTAGAGTTGAAGTATAAAATTTATAAACAATAACATATACGTTATTTTTTATTGTAGATATATTATAGTCCTCAATATAGATTAAAAAGTTTTAGTTTAAGTAAGAGTTTTATGGCACTTCCAACACAATAAGGCTATACAAGTGCCAAAGATTAGAGGTGTTACAACAGAGTAACAAACATAAAAAAGGAGGAGAAATAAGGACGATATCTGTTTAAAAGGAAAGAAGGAGCAAACTACATCAGAGCACCCGCCAACCACCCACATTGATTAAAAAGCACAGGTTCTGAAACTTTTACATGTAAATAGCAATACATAAATAGACCTATGTTGTGTTGTGACTCAAAATTTATACATGTATCAGTTTAATTTAACGGATTTATCAAACTGAGTAAGCTGTATAAAAAGCATGAAAGGAAACAAAAGCACAATAACACTAAGGCGATTATCACATTTGTCTTTAAAAAATAATAAAAGATAAAAAAATGAGCAGACATGGTTCAGTTAAGAGATCCACTTTATTGTATAACCTACAACTCATTTATTGTTCACATTTATTTCCATCTAACAACCTTTTCTTTTTCCCTTTTTTTACCTTCAGACACTCAAATCTTATGCAGTTGCGAGCGCCTTCAAACACTTACCAAAAATTTGAGAATAAATAAAAGACAATCAAAGACCCCGAGCCTTCCGACATCAACATTTGCAATACAAGCTCCTCAGGAGAGGAAAATTGTGAAGATCATGCACATGATGCAGAGCTGATGTTCTCAGTGATGAATGAACATTTTTCTTTATACTCTACAACATAACAAAAGGTTTACTTTGGAAATTCTTAAAAATACCCGAGTACGATGAATAGGCACTGACAAAAGAACATTACAAAGACATAGTGTAAGTCAATCAAACATCAGAGCCAGTTTAAAACAGGGAAAGCAATCTTAATCTTACGTGATCTCAGTCTCCATGTCCCTAACTTTGCGGTCTGCATCATTGTAGTTGTTCCTGGCTTCGTCAGCAACTGTAGGAGGGAAAAAAATTAAGTTTACTAAATGAAACCAAGCAATGTTTCACAAAGATGGGTACAGACTTTTTAAAAAAAAAGACAAAAACACCTGGGCTTCTTTAGATCAGACACAGAACACTGCAACTAGGATCTAGCTTCAAATAATCAAAAAACGATCTCAGTATACGTATAACATAACACACATTCTAACACATATATGACCTCACAGAAAAGTTAGACTAGCCTCTGGCAACCATTTATGTAATGCGCATTGAGTATTTTTTTTTTTAGAAAATGGAAATGCATAGCGTAAATGCTATTTATTGTTATTATTATTATTATACGGAAAGAACACTGTATACAGAGAGACATATAGAAAGTAGGCCAACGGTATTCTCTCAATCCCCCAGTTAACTTGAGACCTCACCTGCAATGAGTTTCTTGGTCTCTTCATCATAGTCTGGCATCTTCTCCTCATCATCCTCACCTTCAGTCTTTTCCTGCAGGGAACAATTAAAAGTACATCAAAATGAAGTGTCTTCTAGTTAACAAATTGAAAAGAAGAGAGTGCATTCACCCAACAAAGGCTTTATGTTATAAATAGCACAGGAACAGTGAGACCAGACTAAGTAAAAGAAAACAAAATAGAGCATTGGGGATAGAAGCTGACTTGGCCACTTCCCTCAATTCCATTTTTTTTTTTTATTGTCACATGCACACTTAATTTTTATAGGAAAAAAAAGAAACCCACAACATGAAAAAAGCATGCCAAGAACACATAAGAAGGAGACCAGAACAATATTCATTCCCTCATCCTGCATATTTGGTCACTTTTAAGGACAAGCAGGCTAACCCAGATTTCGGGGGTTTCCAGAAATCTTGACCTACACCAAAAGTGGGCATTGCCCTACCTATAGGAGAAGTTTGGTTTCATTGGTGTGTACATTTGTTTAGTTAAAGAGAAAACAAACTTTCCTTTTCGTTTAAAGAAATTGAACAAGGGGGAAAAACTTTACCTTCGATTTTCTCTAAACAGCATTTTTCAGGATAGCCCCTTGAGCTTAAAAGCGACCATTTCATGTAGTGATAATTTATACACAAACAAAGTCAGCAGCCAGCATGGTGGAGTACAAAAAGCTGGCAAACTTCAAGCAATACAAACTCTCCTCCCCCCACCCCCCTCCAAGAAAACAAAATTAATAAAGAGCAAAAATATAGCAGTGCACATAACTTTGTCCATGTAAATGGATTAAAGTCAAGAAATTAAAACTTTACAGTGCATGTTACCAGTGACATTCTTACATGTGAGAGTAACTATTGATTATGAAACAAAACTGGGCAAACAGTAAGTAGTTCAGCTGTGTTAGTCAAAAATTCCCAACTGATCAAAACAAAAAACTCCTGAATGACATTTGAACCAGAATTATTACATAACTAATTCTTCCATGCATAAATTCAGAAACCAAAGATAAATATATTTCTGCAAAAGTAAACTTCTGTAGAGTAAAAAAAAAAAAGCAAGGAAACAAAGTGTGTTCAAGATGGCAAGCAGCTATGGTAATCACTCCACACTTCAGAATAATTGGTCGCTTTTAAGGACAAGCGGGCTACCCCAGATTTTGGGGGTTTCCAGAAATCTTGATCAACACCAAAAGTGGGCACTGCCCTACTTATAGAAGTTTGGTTTTATTGGTTTGCATATTTGTTTGGTTATAGAGAAAACTCTCCTTGTCTTTTAAAGAAATTGAACAAGGGGCAAAAGCTTTACCTTCGATTTTCTCAAAGCAGCATTTTTCGGGATAGGCCCCTTTTGCTTAAAGCGAGCTATTATAAAGTGTTGCTTCTGCAATCTCCACTTTCCCTCAATTTACATAATTTTGGTTTTCAATAATGAAAAATAATTCCACATGCTTATTGCAGTTCTCAAAATGTATTGACCAACTGCATGTCCTGTTCTGTAAAAGACACACTCATGCAACAAAAAGACTGAGTAATTCTGAAAATAAACCTGAGAGAAAAGCAAACACTATCTTCTAATGCAAGCAGTCCAATGAATGGAACAATCTTTCAAATATGTTAAAGAAAACAATGCTGTTAAAAAAGACATAAGCGACATATTAATTACTTCAGAAATATATTTGTGCTGAGAACTAATTTTGAAAAATGAAATCTCTATACTGTACCATGACAATGAATTCAGGAGATGACACATCAACTGAGACCTTTCTTAAAACTAGATCAATAGCATGCCCCACTAAATACAAAACAAAATACATTAAAAAAAATAAAACTTAAAAAAACCAACAACAACAACAACAAAAACTGACAGTTTGTCAACCCCCTGAAACAAGTCTTCTCAACTCCCACGTCCTCCACAGAAACAATGGCCCATGGAAAATACACCCAATCAAACATATTAGTTATCCAGTACAGTCGCAAGCCAAATGTAGAGGGCCTATATGAAGAATTAGCCAAACCTAAAATTCAATTGCGAAAAAAGACCTTTAAAAGGAGTTAAAGCAACAAGTTTAAAAAAAATTACATCTAAATCTTTTAGTTTTAGAGAGTTTTAAGGCACTTGCGACACAATAAGGTCATATAAATGCCCAAGATTAGAGGTGTTGCAAGAGTATAACAAACACAAAAAAGGAGGAGGAGAGAGAAGGACGGTAGCTTTTGATAGGAAAGAAGGAGCAAACCACACCAGAGCATCCGCCAACCACCCACACATCTAAATCACTCACAAAACCACAAAGACTGGCATAAAAACCAAGTAAGCTTACACAAAAGCTCCTTATCAACAACTCCACCTCTTTTCATACATGTTATGGCCATTTTTAAAAACTGCACGCACATAAAACCAAGTGCACATGTACCGAATGAACATATGACTAAACGTGTTTTGCATAAGTCCACAGGTTTTCTTCTCAACGGAAACCACCACAATTAAACAATTCTGAACCATGCCCATTTTCCACTTCAACAGCCTCAGGAGCCACGGGTCTTTAACTAAATCTGCCCAAGGGCATTTAAAATGAGATAATGGAAGGAGGGACAGCCTACTGCTTAGCTGTCCAGAAAACCTAATCTAGTAACTATACTGGTGATCAATCCATTCAAATGCTCCAGACAGTTAAAAGGTACTTGGGAATTTATCAATTTGAGTTACTACAAATTTACATTATTTTTACAAGGAAATTTTGTATTGCGTTTGAACTATACCAACTACAGTGCTCTTCATATTATCATGAGCAATGAATAAAGACAGCACCCCCCCCCCCAAGTCAGCATCATATGATACAAAATTTCACGAGGAGCAAAACAAGATGAAAGATGCACAGACAAAAAAAGAAGAAAGAGTAGACCACACAAAGGGCCCACTAACTGCACAATTCCTTCTGAATGATCGTAATTAAAGTTCTAGCAAATACAGTCGCATAACAACATCTATGAACCTCAAGCAAATTCACAATCAACTTCATGCAGTAAGAAACAACACAGACTCAGCGCTACTTGAAAGAAAGTTTGGAAAAAAAAATGAGAACACAGCAAAATCCCATAATAACATCAAGCGAGAGAGACCTTACTTTTTAAGAAAAAAAACCCCCAGAAAAAGCATCATCAGATACAGCCGCAAGTCGATCGCAGGAAAAAAAGACTCCGGAGCGGGAAATATGACAGAAGAGCACAGCATGCAAGAAGCCATCACCACGGTAGCTCACGTTAGTCAAGCATTAGCAGGAGTTGTAGTGAGAAACACCAACTATACTCACTGACTTATTTCTTCTACCCCGTCTCTTTTTACTAATATCATAGTCAGCCTCTAAATCATCCTCATCTTCAAGTTCGTCATCTTCCTCCTCCTCATCATCCTCATCATTATAGAGGTCCTCGTCATCAGAATATCTGTACTTGTCCTCCTCCTCCTTGGATCCCCCCTCCACCACTTTCACGTCCTCATGGAGGATGGGAGGAACAGTCCTCTGAGGACAGTGAACAACCCACTGGTCAGCTCCGTTTCATTCACAGGAGGAACGTACATCAGATGCACCAAAACCTCACAGGCTGCAGCATTCAAAACGCTCATCACAATCACAACTTTAGTGTGCGCAAAGGTTAACTATTAATACAGTAAGCAAAAACGAACTGAAAAATATCAGTGGCAGTGATAGTGATACTTGATACCCAGTGCACAGGAAGGAAAAATGTAACAGGGATAAGCGTATTATTCAATGCATCAATTTTTTTTAAAGTCTGATGTTCATAACCCAGACATTCACATTAACTGACGATATCACCTCTGTAGATTTTGCTCAACTGTGCTTCTTCAGCACAAAAACTCATACACTTATTGGAAGCAGGGACTCATTACCCCTATATTCAAGCTTTAAAAAAAGAAAGAAAAAAATTTTTTTTTAGCGCAGTCAGTTCTTTTAGATCTGCAAGGAAACAGGTAACATCTGTTTGCAACCAGCATTAATTGGATTCACAAATCTGGTATAAATTTTTAGCTTTGTCAGTGTTTTCTTATTGAACACACTGTTATTTTCATTCATCTATTTCACTCAGTCCTCTACTACAAAGAAGTTAGTTCAAGTTTGTGAAAATGAAATGAAAGACAAAAATGTGAATAAAAAAAAATAATTTGGAAATGAGTTTGTTATCCTTTGCAGATGTGTCTTCCATTACATTTACAATTCCAAGACGAAGGTGCATAAACTAAACCATCTGTGAAAGCCACATTTTTGTGGAAAACACTGAGATGGTGAAGAACTGAGAAAGAAAAAAGTGTAAAAGTGAAAATGCTGCATTTTTTGGCTTTGTCTGGTGAGCAAATCCAGGTTCAGAAAAATAACATGAGAAATAACTACATCACTAGAGCTTGAAGTTATGCTGTTGTCTACAGCAAGTTGGCACACACAGTAAACAGACCAGAAGAAAAGTAACAGCAAAAGGAAGTAAAAGGAGCAGATCATACAGGAGAGCCTTACTTTCAGAAACAATCTACAGAGGTAAGTCTACTTTGGGGACATACAACAATGCACTGATAGTAATACTGTGACAGGAAATAGCAAAGATATTTTAAAGGTGTGAAATTACAGAAGACAGGACTAGATATCTATACACATGCTCCCTGAGCTGTTGGCATACATCATGTGATGAAAGTAGGTAACACTGTGTTGCTGCACTCATACACTGTTCCATTTCTGGATAACAAAAGTTTCATTGACTTTTGAATAAAGAAAAGTAACTGTTTCTGTGCCTGTATCATCTGACATTATAAATGTTGGAAGTGGGTGCACTATGCAGAACAATTGCCAGCGCAGGGTATGGAGAAGAACACAATCAGAAACAATGGCAAGGATCTAGAGAATACAATAGGCAAGTCTGCTACTTGAAAAGACTCTCTCGTTTTACCAAAAACACTCAAGACAACGCCACGTTTGTAAAAAGACCTACTTAGACAAAATGAACTAATAACAAAATGCACTTCTACAACTATATTTGCTCTGTTTATCCACAGACTACAAACTCTAGACTGGAAAGATGTCTACAATCTATTGAGGTCTCAACGACGGAGCTAAACAAAAAACACTGAGTATGTCCATCAACAGGAGCAGCTGTGAAGGATTTTATCTGAGCATCCAGTAAAAATCTATTCCAGAAAGACGGTCTGCTAAACATCCAGTCCAAGTAAACCACATATCATCTAAAAAATCACAAACTTGGGCAGAATTGAATTCATGCCAGTTTCATTTAAAAATGAACTGTACAAATAAATTATCCAATCTGAAAAAGATCTTGCAAGCAACAAATGTACAAAGCAAGAAGATGCTTACAAAAACAGGAAAAAAATACAACACGAGAAAAAAAAAGCAATTGGACCTTACACATGGAAGGTCAGTATGGAGAAAGGATGCATTCAGACAAAAAAAATCCTGCATGCAGCCACAGGACAAAATCAGGCAGCCATACAAAAGCTTTCATTTGTCTCTGACACAAACATGTACTGCCTGTATTATCAGTGACCTGCTTAACTCATTCGCTACGCCGAGCCATGGGGGGCGGCATGGCTAAAGTGCTGTCAGTACGCTAAGCCGCCCCCGGCGGCTCGAGAACCGAAGTTCAAATTTAGCTTGGTTTCTATTCCAATCCACATATCCATGTTAAAATAAAGGTCATAATATAAAGTTGACTTCCGGGTAAAGCGTTTCCACCGAAAATTGGAAGTTTTGATTCAGTTTTGAAACATGATTTCGAAGTTTATGCAACATTGTTTTATCGCGAAGCCCAAATTATAGCTAAGACACCAGTCTTAGTACTTTTACACAACAAAATGTATCATTATTTTGCTCACTAAAGAAGTGTAGGACTAATATTGATACTACTGGACTCAAATTGTCAGCGCACTGTAATTGAGAAATCAATATTTTTGAGTGCTAGATCTAAGCCTAGATCTAAACAGTCTAAATATTTTTTCTCTCCCCAAAATCACTACTTTTTGGTGAATTTTCTCAAAAAGTACCACCCAAGACATGTATAGGTTTATTCCAAATGCAATTCTGAATAATTCCATATAAGATACGAGTGTTTTTTTCTGTTTGGGATCCTTTTTTCAAAATTATTCAAAAATTATTTTTTTTTCAATATCGGAGGTTAGGATCCAAATGTACAGATATTATGGAATGTATGTAAATAACTGCTCATTTTTCAATATTTTCCTGTTCTATATACAGTTATGGTTATTTTGATGTATAATTTGACTAGGTGCAAACATATTTTTTGAGTTTCATCTGAGATTATAAATTTTTTGTTTTCAAATTTTATCCGCAGCCAATCACAATTGTGTTGCATAATCGCCTCTTACAGGAACCAAAGCTGAAAAATACTCAAATAAACAATACAGATGTATTCTACAAACCATACTGAAAATGTTGGTATAAAATATGTTGATGTTTATTTGAATTTATGGCCCCCAAGACCTGTGAACTGCGCACTAGTCATCATCTCATTTCGCCCTCCCGAAAAAAATTCGTCCACAAGCCGAAAATAATACGTAGCGAATGAGTTAACTTTTAAACAGTAACACGGTTGAACCACAAAGGACCATCATAGAGATGGAAACTTTTCAAGCAGAAAAGGAAAGCTTCGATCAAATCTGTGAAGATTAAGTATCCTCAAAAGTTTAATGCTATAGTCGCAAAGCCCTTGAGACTTTCCTACATCTAAATACTTCACAAGCACTTTTAAGCACGCAAGCTGACATACAGAAATATTGGTACCGTAAAGAAACCCCCTAATGACTTGAAAAGTAGCAATATCAGTAATATTGCATCTCCTGGTAAACTTGAGGTTTTCTTAAATATGCTGACCGCTACCAACACCAATCGTAATAAGGAAGCAAGGAAAGGACAAGCCTTACAGGCCTTCACACATGGCCAGACGGAAGAAACCAAGACAAAAACTCTTACAGGCACCACAGCCGTAACACACAAGCGCATAAATATGAACTCACTGAAAGGAACAGGATTACAAGATGCAAGACAGCTCTTCGCAGCCAGTTCAAAGAAGCAAATCTTTTGAACCATTCCAATTTACTGTATACTCAACACAGTTGGGTTTTTTCCAAGAACGTTTTGAATTCACTATTTGATTCTCTGAGTGTCAGAAATGATAATAGCCTAATGTAGTAGCACCCCTTTTAACATTTTTATGAACTGTTTGAACTCATAAAATTCTATAAAAATCACAAATGCAAGTAAAACATTTCTAGAAATTAAAAAAAAATGTATACAGTAATTGGTACCTCCCTCTGTTTTTAATCTATTTCTACTACAATGTCTTAAATAAAACTGCCTCATGACAAGAAAGTAGCAGAATCTTTTGTGCGAGTCTTGTTAGAGATAACTTAAACTTCGTAAGTCTAAATTATGACGAGAGTAAGGAAATCCAGCATGCTTTAATATCAATTAAAGGGAATGAAAGGAAACCAGAGAACTGAGCGCAGCAAAATGAGTGATTTGCAGCTATTGTCTATTAGGTGAGATATGAGGATACGCAGATGTTTCGATGCAACTTGGGGGGGGGGGGGGGGGGGGGGGGGTGAGGATCTGGGTACACAGCCTTACAAAAACAAATCTAAAAATTTGTGAGAAGAGAGCAAACAAAAAAAGGAGGGGAAAGGTAGGGTTATTCCAATTTGCTATGTGATAGTCTGACAACAAAATATTGGAAGTTACGAGAATATAGACCCCACTGATTGTCAACACGTCTAGCTGAGATGCCTCTACCAGCAGCAGCACAAGGTGATGAGATGTTAGAGATTGGAACCAAAGCCCCACGTTCCCAAGCACAACGCTACAACTACAACACTAAGCATGGGCTCACCGGGTCGCTCCCCTCCGGCTGCTCTTCCACGGGTGCTGCCGTGGCTTCCTCTCCCTCTCCCGCTGGCACCTCCTCTGGGGGAGATGGGGGCTTGTAGATTTCCTTGATGTTGGGCCAGATCTTCTCAGTGAATGTGGGCAAGTCACAACTGTCACTGTCCTCCAGGTACTCCTGTGGATTGGTGGAGTTTGTTTTAGTAAGAGTTTTACAGCAATTGCAACACAAAAAGGTAAACTACATGATACAGAAGGTTAGAGTAGTAGAGTAGTGGGTTTATTCATGATCCCCAAAACAAGCGGTTGGGTGGGGGTCAAAAGCCTTGATGGACATTACAAACTGTTAAACTCACACAAAAGAATATCACTTAGACCATTAAGAAAACGGTGCACTTGGCTCAGGGGTAGAAGAAAGAAAAATTGTTCAGAAAAGGATAAAACACAATTTAAGGAAAGAAAACACCATAAAATCACATTGAATTGAAGCTACATATTTTCTAAGAGGACTGAGAAAGTGGGTTCCAAAAATTGTCAAGCAAGAGGTAATTAAAATTTTTCAACTGGTCTTAGTGACGTTTCCTCGAGTAAGAAACATCAGCCCAAGATAAAAACAAGAAGCTGTGAAGAGGTGAACAGCCATGGCAATATGGAAGTGCTTAAATTTATTGTCTTTGCTTCAGTCAGTGTTTTACAGCACTTGCAACACAGGTAAGTCATATAAGTGCGAGGACTAAAGCTGTTACAAGAGAGTAACTAACACAAAAAAGCAGATAAGGACGATATATGTTTTACAGGAAAGAAGGAGCAAAACACACTGGACCACCCACTTAATTTATTGTCAATATTCTACCAACTGCCAGATACAAGAAAAATAAGTAGTGACTGTAGAGTACTTCTGCCACAATACATCAATTTTTTGTTTGTTTTAGTAGAGGTTTTATGGTGCTCGCAACTGCATAAGGTCATATGAACGCCAGAAGATTAGAGGTGTTACAAGAGAGTAACAAACATAAAAAAGAAGGAGGAGTGATTTTTTTATAGGAAAGAAGGAGCAAACCACACCAGAGCACCCGCCAACCACCCACACATCAATTTTTGAAAAGTGCCAACTACAATTAAGTCACAAAACAATGGGTATCTATACCTTGGCCTCTTCATCACTGACAGTGCCGTCAGAATCTATATCAAATTCTTGATGATTCTGCAGTTCTGGAATGTCCACTCTGAAAAAAAAAACCCCACACAAATAACATTTTAAAAGGTGCCTGTACCTATTATTCAAATTTCATGTCTAACAGGGAGAAAATGAAAATATCCATACTAGTCTGTTTGCTACACTTTTAGATAAACGAAATCATAACACACCAAGAAAAAGCAAGGCGTAAAGATGATCTTTCATTTCAAAAGAAAGGAGAGCAACAATAATGTCCAGGCATCTGCTCTCAACTAATAGAGAAAACATACCTTACATGAATATCCAATTCATCAAACACATTCAGAAAGTCATATGTCATCTACATTACATTAACCCAGGTATACTCATCAAAAGTGAGCGTCGGTAGTCTAGTTGTTAGGCTACCGGACTCGTAATCGTGAGGTTGCGGGTTCGGGGGTCCGAGCCGCGGGCCTGACGTTGTCCTTGGGAGAGGCACTTTACACTAATTTTCCTCACTTTACCCAGGTGGGAATGGGTACCCAGCCATGGACTGCGAAAGATCTTGTCAGTATGTTAGTGTTTTAGTGCCTATAAATGGCAGCTTGCACTGTTTGCTTCCCAGGAAGTTGAGATTGTTTCAGAGTGCTCTCAGGTCTGCTGGGGTAATAGTATAGATAGCGAAGCGCATAAACCTTACTGTAGAGCGGGGATTTGCACTACACAAATGTGGTCCATTATTAATATTAAGTAAAAACTTCACCACAGCTCCAACTCTCACTTTTAAATGGAGACAAAACAAAATCACCACAGCTGTAACCATGGTGAAATATGTCGATGAGAGAATTAGAATCAAAAGAAACTCTTGAAGGACTCACATTCCGTCCTGATTGACATCCAGTTCAGCAAAGGCCTCCCCTGCTACCACAGCCTCTTTGGCTTTTCTGCGCTCCTCCTTGACAGCTGGGAGACACAAAAATGTCACAAAAGTTTAAAACGTACTTTGCTTTATCTTATTAAGCACATTTTTACTCTCTTCAAATATCTCTACAAACAGTCCAAATTGTCTAGGACAGCCACCCACTGTCAAGGACAAAAGCAGTTGTCGTAGATAGGTGTTTTTAACAGGGCTGTTACACCATTTTAAAAATGCATGGGGGAAAGTGGGAGGCGGTCCTTTGTACAGGTTATTGTCTTGGACAGGTGATCATTAGTGTAGGGTAGACTGTATACAACCATGACAAGATTTCCCACTTAAAGCTCTTTACTTTATTCATTGAAGATATCACATCAATAAAGAGTAGACCAGAAATCACCACATTTACATATATACATGAAAAAGGACCATAAATAAAGACAATTTAATGCACAAAATCATAGTCACTAATACATTTGCAGAATGCCTCATGGGTATTACCACTCCTATCAAGGAAAAGCAATCTATAGAAACATTCAGCCCTTCTTTCAGAGTGTCAAGAATAAAAATAGCAAATTCTCCTTTCAATGCATCAATATGAGTAAGGCTATTCAAACAAAAGAAGTAGTTATTGTACAGTACTTACCATTCCAAGCTGCCTCATGCTTGTCCTTAGCCTCTTTCTCGGGCTCCTCTGCTGCATTCTTCAGCTCTGCAATGAGAACAAATAACAGGGTCTCAAGTTTTCTGACACAGATGAATCTATAACCTTTAATGAAGAGACACATGAGCAGTGAGAAGTATGAAGCTGCCATGCCCATTAAAAATAACAAATAAAAGAACAGACCAATCTCCTTGGTCCCAATCTCCAAATACAATATTCATTCAAGGACATCTTCAGTATAGACAGTAAAGGGGATAAAATACTACTTAGACACTTTGAATTCCAATGCACAACTGTAACATACAGGACATTCATTAAATTCCTTCTCCATGATTGGGTATGAAAAAACAAAACCAGTTCTCCTACACACAAGCCATTCTACATTTTCATTTTGTATCAAGTTTAAATCAATATCAAGTATTGGATAAAAACAGATCAAGTCTCCTCACAAAAAATGCTGATCGTGCAGTAAGCCACAATCCAGCATGTTTGAGAAAGAGCGACAGAACAGGAAAGAAGTGGAGCTATCACAATCAGCGTGCAACCCAACTAACCTTCCACAATACTGTGCAACACATACAAAAGCCCTTTCCTTAAGGTAGACCTGAACTGATAAATAACACATGTGAAATAAAAGAACAAAAAATCTGTTCTCTCACCTTCAGCACCATTTCTCACTTGAACAAGAGTTTCTTTGGTCCTCTCCAACTCACTAAGGCGAGCCTGTAAAAAGTAACAAAACACTATAAATAAATCTTCAAAAGATTCGACTTGAAAAACCAAGACTTCTTAAATTACAATAAAAAATTCAAATCACAATAACAATGGAACTTGCATACCCATCAAAAGAAAATGAGTCTTAACTCATTCATGACATCTTCACTGATGATGGGGGTCAATAGTATAATGGAATGTTTTAGCTAAAGATTAAGTGTAAAAAGATAACACATGGACATGCAACAATTCAAACTTATAGAAACAATCAGTTGAATCAGATGATTTACAGGGATCACAGTGAAATTTTTAGCCAACCCCTGAACTTTGACGGCTGATCCAATAGACTTCCATAAATATTGTGCACCCCCCCACCCCCTTTCCAGAGCAGTTTAAAAAAATGCAAAATCAAGAAGAGGGGAAAGGTCAGTTCCGGTTCACCTCCAATCAAAGGAGAGTGCATGTTTTCTTTACTGGGAAGCTGAGAATGTTTCGGAGTGTTCTATGGTCTGCTGGGGTAATAATATAGTGTAAAGCGCATAGAGCCTGCTGCTGAGCGGTGATATGCGCTATACAAATGCTATCTATTATCTATTATTATTATTACTGTTCGTGACTTTCTTTTTCCCTGAGCGGTCTCACTCGTAGATCGTAGTGTGCTTTAGGGCCAATCTCAGGCTACTCAAGGCCTACCGAGGCCCGACTTAAGGCCAGGGCGGAATGATTGCTGGCTCGGTTCGAACCGCAAAGCGGACTTTGTGAAGTTCTTGCAACCGCAGAAAATTGCGGATCCACGTAAAACTGAGATCCCTGGATTTATGCTTTAAAAAAATCTCTTCTTGTTTATGAGACTTACCACTTTCTCATCCTTAGCTCTCTTGCCTTTCTGGATGTACTCCAGCTTCACCTTGTAGCCCTGTTCCTGCTTCTCGCGGAAAGCTTCCTGCTGAGCCCGGATTTCAGCAAACAATTTCCTGAACAAAATATGTTTTGAGTTACAAAAACCTGGATCGATAACATCAACAACAACAAAACTTAATTGAGTTACTGAAAAACTTGTCTACATAATAATACAGTAGAACACGGCTATACTGGGACTTATAGTTCCAGAAGAAAAATTTCGCTGTAGGCAGGTTCCCGCGGTAGGAATGCAAAGGGGAATAACCGAAAAATCACACACTACACGTTCTCCTCTTCTTTAACTGTCTTTTTGTCCTAGCCTAGGGCTAGAGCTATGGCACATCATTTTTGGAGTGGCTCACGTAACGCGTCTCTCCACACCATCTCTCTCTGCCGCCTGCCCAACCTCAATCATCACTGGACTGGCCAATCACAACGCCGCACCACTGACTGCCTGTTTGGAGCAGACCTACAGCCCCCACCCCCTTCCTCCAGCTAAAGCTCTCTGGATCTATCCCGCTGTATCCAAGTTTGGGCCTTTCCTTGCCCCGATAAACCCAAGCACAGTTAACTGAGTTTACAGAGACAAAAAAGGGGATTCAGGTAAGGTCCTGCTGAAGGGATGGCTCCGCTGCAGCAGGTGCCGCTATAGTCATGTTCTACTGTAGTCACCTAGGGCTGGAAAAAGGTCAGACTGCAGGCAGTACAATCAGAAGTGACAGGAAACAAGTATGACCCCAGGCTTATTTATTTATTTCAATGACCATAACTGATATTATTGTCAAAGTGCATACTGTCAAAGCACAAGGAAAGATGCAAAATAAAAGGAACTTTCTGCCTCAATATAAATAGCACTAGTTCAGGCATAAAAGGTCAAATCTAGCACTTAAGAAATTTGGACTAGTCTAAAGATAACTGCAAGTCCTCATCCCTTGAAAAATAAAAAACATAAAAAATCTTCAGTTAGTGTTTTGGGTTTGTTTTGTTTTTTCTAAACCCAAAAAGCATGCTTTCAGGATTTACATTTTTTCAAATTTAAAAAAGGTAAAATGTCAGAAAACCCCCTGAAAATTACTGAAAATGCAGACTCATTGGCACAAACAAACTTGCATTCAACATCTGATTCACTTACTCGCAGGTGTTCTCACAGGAGATGGTACCGTCATACTCATCCGAACCATCACAGCAGTCTGAAAGGATGAAAACAGGCAATATGCACAAAAAAATGAAAAAATACACTTCAACAACATCACAATGATGAAAGACTAGAAACATTTACTCTTCAAGGAAACTCCCTTTTACACTCCTCAGAGCAACTTTTACAAAACACAAAACAAAAATTATCTAATCAGACTGGCAGTGTTGGCAAGAAAAATGGAAATGGAGCAGACACTCTCTGAAATAACAGCAGCATGAGTAAACAAAAGCCCATCAACACATTGTGAGGACAAGAAATAAATAAAAAAAAAAAAAGAAAATCTTCTGCACAGAAGACATTGTGTATTGTCGTAAGAATACAATTTTCTTAACACACCAGTAATAGCAATAGAAAGTTCAAAATCCGAAACGACTTCCTGGGACAGGAGGGCCTACACATATTTTTCTAAAGCCACAAAACACCTCAACATTTGACAAAAACCTTAACCCTGTCCTTACGCCTTGGGGTCATTTTGTACCCATGGGTTGTATTCTTCAAATTATAGAATACTTCTAGTATGAAGATCTCTTTCAAACTTTTAGTATTTCTCAAAAAATCATTTTGACAGACTGCTATGCAAAGTGTATGGATTGGATTAAAGAGTAAATTTCCTCTTTGGAAAGTGGTGGCACAGAGTTCCCCACGTCGTATGGATACGATAGTAAAACACGACGTACGGATAGGGTTAAACTGACTACTCACCGCAAATCCCATCATTCACCCGTGAAGACATGATGTAAGAGCCTTTGTATGGCTTGTTCTCACAGTAGAACAAACCATTGCTGCAAGCAGAGGTACCTGTAAAAATAAAGAAAAGAAAATGTGGCAAGAACATATTGCAATGGAATCAAACACTCTAAATTAACTCCTTATCTCCGGCAAGCCGTTCCTTATGACTCGCAGTTGGAACCACTGGCAGCGGCTCGGGTCCATTCTTTAATAATGACTTTTCACATCAAGTTACTTTTCGGCAATTGCTGGAAACAAGTCTGCTTTTATCAGGGAGTTCATTCATTAGATGAAGAACTATCAAAATAGGTTGACATGTTTTCGGATTTAAAGGCAGATTTAGTGAGGCTTTAGCCCTTTTTAGATTTATTATAAAAAAAGAGCCCCGGCGTAGTGGGTTTAGCCATCACAGAGATAAATAATTAAAGCTGTAAAGACAAAACAATTCCTAAGGTATAACAATCTACCACGTGACTATATTATAATGAAAATCACATCTCTGTATCTCTCATTCATATTTAATATTTATGAGCCGTAAAAATGTCCTCTACATTGTTGAAATATCATACACAATGTACCTTTTATCAAATTTGTATAAAAACTGGTAGTTAAAATAAAGGAGGCACTATTGACCATGATGCAAAGTCAAAAGTGAAAAATACCTTTTTAAAATGATCCGTCACATTCATAACAAAAATTGTTTTTTACTTCTATTTCCAGTAAACACTGACTGACCTGGTTCATCAGACCCATCCTCACAGTCACAGTAGTCATCATTGACATGGTCCATTGGAATAATACGGCCATTGGACAAACACTTGAATTCTGTGCCTCCTTCATAGAAAGAGGCCTCTGAAAGCAAAAAAAAAAGGAAAGTAAAATATTCTCTTCAATAGAGTCATTGTCACAGAAAACAGCATACATTGTGCCTGTATCACAAAAGTACAAAGCACGGAAGATGAAATTTTTAGGAATCTATAACAAACTTCTTGAGTCTGTCCTCAAAACGTTAAGTTTGGAAATCAGTTGAAAGGCATGAATGATTATTACTAAACAAGACACAGTCAGATCTGCAAACGACTTAATGACCAAAAATTGTAAGCTTTCACCAAAATCCTCCTAAAAAATCAGTTTGGGGAAAAAAAAAGAATACTTCAACATTTAAATTTAAGTCGCAGGTTAAAATCTGTAACAAACCCCACCATGGCAACAATTATGCACATAATGATAAACACAAAAATAAAAATGTGTATTTTCATGTCACTTACAGGGCAAATAAAATACAGTCGAACCTGCCATGATGGCCACTTTTATTAATACGGCCACTTTCCATTCCCCCCCCTAGCATTTTATATAAGTTAACTGTGTAAAACGGTCACCTGTCCACACGGCCGCGGCCATCTTATTAATTATTTATCAAATCACTGTCAAATTTACCTGCCTCAGGCGGCCAGGCTAGGTCACTCATTGACCGACACTTTGTCATAAAATTTTGAATCGGCCCCTCAAGCTGTGGACCCTCATTCACCTGTCATCATTGTTAGTCCCTCCAATGAATGTTTGAACCCAAGTTGACCAATGGGTAGGCCCAACAATACATTTTCAACAGCTGGTGAGGGAAACGTGATCCGTCATAACCTATAAAAATATGTCATACACCCACAACTCATGCGAGATTGTTCGTCACTGTTTTGTTTACCTAATCTGTTACAAAGTAACAAGGACGTTGACGTGAACTTGTGACAGAAGTGTTGCTCGTTATTCGAGTGGTAGTGGTGGCAACCCGTGTGTTTGTTTTACCATGGCACTCAGTCTATATTGTCTTACATAATATTTTAACCTTCCACTCACAAAATCAGCTCTTGGGTTTCCCTCGCCAGTAACTGTTGAAAGACTATCTCGTCGTGTTTCTTTTTTGTATTAATTTGTGTTTATCATTTAGATCTATCTATAGGTTAATAAACAATCTCATCAATTCTCGTTCCATAATTTTATATCCTCTCCTCAAAGTTGTTCACACACACACACACACAAACACACGCACTCACACACATGAGCGCACAGACAGCCCAAGCAGTCGGCGATGAAACCTAGTGACGGAGACCATCGAGTGCTAATTAATAGGAAGGACTTCTGTAACGAGCGACCACCCCATCAAACACAATAAAGAAGAGGCCTTCTAAACCCTAACCCCTAGATTCCTAGATGGAAGTGGCTATCCTCACCCGGGGTGAGAATAAAAATACGATCTACCTCTCACCCCGGGTGAAACAAGACCTGTTTTTCCTCATTTCGGAATACTGTCTATCGGTGTGGATGATCAAATTGATAAAAAGCCAAGAAAAAATTACGTATAGCACAAAAGTAAGCTAATTTGGTCGTCTTCACAGATGCTATGGCTATTTCTCTTTTCGAATCAAGCCGAACTACGCGGGTCACCATTTTGTTTTGCCCGGAAGTTCTCGCAAGATCTACTCCTCCCCTCTCTCTCTGTCTCTTTCTGAATACTTACTGTCTATCGGTGTGGACGATCAAATTGACCAAAAAAAAGTTTTAAAATGATGTTAAACAACAAAACTAGATCTAGATCTAAATTAATTTGGTCGTCTACAAAGATGCTACGGCTATTTAACTTTCCAAATCGAGCCGAACTACGTGGGTCGCCATTTTGTTTTGCCCGGAAGTTCTCGCGCTACTCTTCTCTCTCTCTCTCCACTGCCCACAGACAAAATTGCACGCTTGCTAACAACACTAACAGTAGTAATAGATCTAGAACGTTTGTTCACGGCACAGAACTCTACAATTCTGTTATCACTTCACAGTGTAGAATTCTGTGGTTCAGGGTGAACGCTTCACTGGTGGTTGGCCTAGGCTATAACGGTGAACGCCCACCGGGTGAGAATAGAGGTGGCCTTCCTAGAGAGATCTAGTCTAGTCTCTAGATCTACCCCATACCCTAGCCCTCAATTCTGCTCTGTGTCATAGTGGTCGCTCGTTATGGAAGTCCTCCCATAAAATAAGCAGCAAAGCGGGACAGGCACGGTGAGATCTAAGAAAGGCTCTTCTAAGTAGTCTTAGGAGGGGTTTTTTTGGGTAAAATTATAGGCCAATTACAATCTCAGACACACGTCCACGTACTTTCAAGGGACACTCCCCTGGGTCGTCCAACAGCAAAAGAAAAAGATAATAAACTCAGAAACACGAAGACAGAGGTCAGAAGACCCTTTGGCAGCTCCATTTTTCAGAACTTTCCACGTCAGCTCCCTTTTCGTATTGTCGGATGATCGATTCTCTCAGCCTCACCCAGAGCCAAACCCACCAGCAGAATGTGTGCGACTTTCGGAGGTTTTTTGTTGAGGGAGTGAAGAAAAGAAAGATGACTGTTTCCGCCGTTCTGGCTTCCGGTCTGGTGTTGCCACAACGCAGGCAGGCCCAGGTCCTTGGGCAGGTATTTAGTGCGGAACCTGCGCCAGCCAACATAAAACAAAGAAAAAAATATTGAATAGTTTTATCCTAATAACGACAACTGTGCATTCTTTCGCAATAATTTGCATGTTTTGCCATCATTCATATCAATGATTTTTTTGGTATTTATTCTATTTGAATTCTAAAATGTCCGTAGTTGTCAACTGCGTTCCTGAACATAAACAATAATGGCGGACGAAGGTAGGAATCTGACAAAAACATGTCGAGTTTTGTCCAATTATTTGTGTGTGTGGTCATGCAATGCCTTCTCGAAGGGTACATTTTCTTGTGCTCAAAATTGGATTGTATAAATTGTCACTTGAAAGTGATATAATTTATCTGCTTTAAAATTGAAACTGATCTTCTTCTTTTTTAACATGTCTGAACTCATCAAACGAATTCACATCACTTCATTCTTCATTTCAACTTCCACTTCTAGGGTAGGTTGGGGCAACTTGGACAGGTTTGTGCAGTGTGGCAAAAGTAACCGATACTGCTCCCACCTTTAAAAGAACACAAACCATCTTGGTATCGTTGTGTCAAGCAGCCATTCTTCTTCTCGATTATAATTATGTTATACCTCTATTCTCTATTTTGATTTATTTGCATTCCGAATTTTCAACCAGTCACGATTTTGTGGCATACCCTCGCTTGGGGCAACTTCGACAGGGGTTGGTGCAAAGCCAAATTCGACCCCCGCATGGGGCAACACCGTCATAGCCTGTGACAGTACTGACAGGGACTGTGGGCAACTTTGACCGGGG